TTTGCTTCTCTTTTATAAAATTTGCTTATTCTCGTTTGCATACATTACCTTCGTCCTGTAATGATTTCGTCGACTTGTAAAAAAATTGCTGAATCGCAAAGCGCTGAATCGGTACGCGTATCAGATTCGATACGATCACGATCTGATTTCTCGTTGACAGCGAAGCTGCACACTCGTCTCTCAAGCTTATATACCCGGTGTCGCCGGAGAGACGCATACGATGAGAAGAGCGTTACGACGAATCGCGAGGTCGATGAACCTCCACGGCGACTTCAACATTTCGTTCACCAACTGTGGAGTACTAGGATGCGACCCGCGGCTTGTAATACCAAATGAAAATGGTGTTCTCCCTTCCTGGAGCTTCCCCGGCTATGACCTGGTAAGGAACTCTGCGTTGTCGCGAACATTCGTACGGAATTTCAGTACTTTGGCGACGAAGGAACCACCCGAACCGCAGGGAATTCCTTTCTTCGGCACGATGCTGTCCCTGATAATGGAAGGAGGCGCACAGAAGTTGCACGAATACGTAGACAAGAGACACCGAGAACTTGGACCAGTCTTTAGGGACTATATCGGACCATTGCGAGCCGTCTTTGTTAATTCGCCCGATGAATACCGGAAAATATTCCTGCAACTTGAAGGTCCTATGCCGCAGCACTTCTTGCCAGAAGCTTGGAAGTTATACAACGAAATCCGGAAGCAGCATCGAGGATTGCTCTTTATGTACGTACAATGTTTCCTCAACAATATTTTAATCCGTTAATAAAAATCAATATGGATATTAGCGATAAAATTATATTACAAAACAATATATTTAAAAAGTTAGCTTTATAAAATGCTCTTGTAGAATAAACGTCTTTAAATAATTAAACATTTTGCCTTAGTTCTCTTTTTCTGAGTATTTTGATGTAAAATAACTCGATAATGTTGCATTTTTCGGAGACAGGGACGGAGACGAATGGTTACATTTCCGAAAAATTCTCAATAAGGCAATGTTGGGATCTAACCCAGAGAAATATATGTGCGCACCTTGTCAGGAAGCTGCCGAAAATCTAGTAAAGAAGTGGAAAAATTATAGCCGAACCGGCTGTACAATACCAGAGTTGCAACATCAACTGTATCAATGGTCTATCGAAGGTAAATCTTGAAACTAATCACATAATATGACAATTTTTATAATTAATATTAAATCACCTTTTATTAATTTGTTAAATATACTGTTGCATTAAACAATTTTTGATCGATCGTTATATTGATCGATGTATCCCCGTTGCAGTGATGCTAGCGACTCTAATGGGTTCGCGATGGCGCGATTGCGAGCAGCAAATGCGGTCCGACATAGAATCCGTAGCATTGATGCTACATCAGATTTTTATGTATTCTGCAACTCTTTCAATGATGCCAGCCAAGTTGGCGATGAGACTCAAATTGCCGGTATGGACCAAGTTCGTCAAGACTGTCGACGTAATTCTAGACAAGGTGCGCAATCTGGTGCCAG